TGGAAAGGGATGATCACCCCTTATGCAAAGAAATCCTGTAAAGCCCCGTAATATACCCAACAGGCAAGCAGGAAGAGATGGAGGCGGAGGGAAAGACACTCTAAGGGCCAGAGAAATTCTTATCTGGTACCCAGAGACTATCAGCTCTGGATCCAATTGTCAGAAGCCAGGGAAGTCCACAAACCAGTGAAAAACCAGTGAAGATGGCCCCCCACTGTGAACTCGGGCAGGGGCGCACCTTTATGCAGAAGAAGACTTCTCTGCAGAGTTGGCTGGCTTGTTAGTCTAGGCTTGTTTTGTACCCCTTGCCAGGGTCTTGAAGGATCTGGAGTCTATGTTGGCAGATACCATGGAAAGAAAGCGCTTCTTATGTACTGAAAAAGAAGGTCCATGCTTAGGCCAAGGCCCCGTGCCCCGCCTGGACTACAGAAGAAAAGCCTTATATTCCTCTGTAAGGTTCCTAATGATGGTGTCAGAGTGGCTCCGAAAATATGATCCCCCTGGAAGGGCAAATCCGCAAGGTCTTTTTTGGAAGTTTGATCCGCAGATCAACATTTAAGCAACAGCACCTGCCTCAGCACCACCTCCATAATGGAGAACTTAGAGCGCCACATCCAAGGACAAAATCACACAAAGTGGAGACCCTGGATCCACAGGTACGCCAGTTGCACTTAAACTGGGGAAACTGTCAGCACCCAATCTGTGGCAAAGCAATATTGCCCATTCAGGAAGGGTCTGCAACACCAGGACCAAAGAGAACACACTGGCCAGGGAGCCGAACCAGCAAAAATAAACATGCGTGCCACCGCTTCAACCCATCTGTCGGCCATAACCTAAAGGACGGGGATTCTTCCACAGGTATCATCATGGCTTTATTGAGCCTGGAGATATGAGAGTCAATGACAGGTGGCGTAGTCCACTTCTTCTGAAGAATTTCTTCAAAATCAAACTTCTTAGAGACCACAAAGGGTCACTTAGGCTGTTCCCAATCAAAGGGGACCGACCTCTCAGCAGGTGCCCCAGAGGCCTCCTTCAGTTTCAAGGTTTCACGCACCAACATAATAAGTGCGGTCACTAGCATTTGCGCCACAGCAGCAGCCGAGGATTCCTCCTCACTATCAGAGAGCAAGGATGTGCGCCAGCAGTATCCACGGGGAGTGCTGCATCCTCCGTGGCCGAAAATAGATTCTTAATCCGAAGAGGACAAGATAAAAAACTGACAAGGGCAGGAGACGCTTTTTGCTCGCCTTATGCCCATAGCCGCTTCAGCCCAGGCAATTAAAGGCTTCAAAACTACCATCAGGGCATCAATTGGCACTGAGGACCCAAAGGAAACCACCACCTCGCTGAGACACCAGACCCTGTGACTCCATGCTGCCACCAGCCTCCTCAAAGGACACCGCCAGGGACCCCCAAAAATTCTGCTATCACAGTATATGGGTAGAGTACACAGCAGGACTCACCACCGCAGTGTCCAATAAGCCCAGGAGCCTCAGGAGAACCACTGCAGTGAAGTCCAGATTCCAGGGGCTGCTCTGAATACAGAGACCATGCTGCTGCAGGAAGGACCAATGTCCTACCTATAGAGGCTGCAGAGTGGAGGAGAGTGCACTGTATGGACTACAGGAAGATGACGGCCACTATTACCACTCTCCAGAAACCCAGGAACACTGCCAGGCCACAGTAAAATATCCGAGCCACATTCCTGTGGCCGGCCCAAGCCCCTCGGTAAAAACCCACACAAGGGAGAGTCCCCAGGATATTCTGGCACCCTGAAACCAGCAGTGGACCACACAGAGGGAGTGAGAGGGACAGAGGGGTGAAGAGAACACACAGGTTCCTCAGTAGCAGCTCTAGCCCAGCCAGGGAGAAGGTGACCCCACAGCACTGACCATCACCCATGAAGCACCCTTACCCATACCGCACCCTTAGGAGGTGGCAGAACACTTACCAATCCAGGGAACGTGGGCACACTCCAGACAGAACCCCTCTCCACTGCTGTGACACAAGCTGCCACTCAGTCATATGCATCCCAGCAAGATTTTTAACTTGCCAGCCACCCCTGTCCAAGATGGGGCATGGTTGCGGCCTACCCAGTGCGTAACTAGGGTCTGCACGCGCTCACTGGTCTGGCTGGGGTGACCACTGGATCTAAATCATCCAGCCTGTTGCCCAGCCTAGCTGTTGATTGAAGAGCTCCATAGAAAAAAATTCCCAGTAAAAAAAGAAAAAGAACAGGAGAAAAAACCCCCCAAAAAAACATGGGACCATAAGCCCCAGCAGGGAGCCAAGTCTCTACTTCAGACGCTAGGTAGAAAGATTGCCTATGCAGAGAGGGGGTTTCATCAGCCAGGACAGCCCATAGGCGGTGCAGAGTTTCTTTTTCTGCCTAGTGTCCTACTCCAGTAGGGAGCAATATAACCCTAAAAGCCAAGACTATGAAAACGCTGTGTCTGTCAATGAAAGAAAGAAATTGGGCTAAGCATTGGTGTATGTATGTTAAAGTGTTACTAAACCCACAGCAGTAAAAATCAGTCTGTAGATGCAGTAAAGCATGCTTGTTATACTCACTGTGGAACCAAAGGGGTTAAACCTCTGCATTGTGTAAAAAGGCTGTTTTATCCTTTCTTCTCTGATCCTCCCCTCCTACTGTCCCCAATCCATCTGCAGATAGTACAGACCTCTAGGAGTCGCTCTGCACATGCTCCGTTTAGTATGTATTGCTAGAGTTTTGTTTTTTTTTTCTTTGGAAGGGTGCATGTGAGCAGCACAGGTCCAATTAGCACTGTCCAGACAGAGGGTCAGGGGTTATGCAGCCTCATAGGACAGTCAAAGCTTGTAGGAGGAGTTTTTATTCTGCTCTAACCAGTACTCAGCTGGACACCGATAGAAGTCACAACACTGCTAACTGCTGATGAGAAAAGGTGTTTAGCAGTTTATATTTACTACAATAATTCCACTTCCATGTGCTGTGTACTGTGGGAGACCAGATATAGCGAATGCGGGGTCCCGGGGAGACCGGATATAGCGAAAGCGGGTCCTGGGGAGACCGGACATAGCGAATGCGGGGTCCGGGGAGACCGGATATAGCGAATGCGGGTCCCGGGGAGACCGGACATAGCGAATGCGGGGTCCGGGGAGACCGGACATAGCGAATGCGGGGTCCCGGGGAGACCGGACATAGCGAATGCGGGGTCCCGGGGAGACCGGACATAGCGAATGCGGGGTCCCGGGGAGACCGGACATAGCGAATGCGGGGGTCCCGGGGAGACCGGACATAGCGAATGCGGGGTCCCGGGGAGACCGGACATAGCGAATGCGGGGTCCCGGGGAGACCGGACATAGCGAATGCGGGGGCCCGGGGAGACCGGACATAGCGAATGCGGGGGGGGATCCCGGGGAGACCGGACATAGCGAATGCGGGGGCCCGGGGAGACCGGACATAGCGAATGCGGGGTCCCGGGGAGACCGGACATAGCGAATGCGGGGTCCCGGGGAGACCGGACATAGCGAATGCGGGGTCCCGGGGAGACCGGACATAGCGAATGCGGGGTCCCGGGGAGACCGGACATAGCGAATGCGGGGTCCCGGGGAGACCGGACATAGCGAATGCGGGGTCCCGGGGAGACCGGACATAGCGAATGCGGGGTCCCGGGGAGACCGGACATAGCGAATGCGGGGTCCCGGGGAGACCGGACATAGCGAATGCGGGGTCCCGGGGAGACCGGACATAGCGAATGCGGGGTCCCGGGGAGACCGGACATAGCGAATGCGGGGTCCCGGGGAGACCGGATATAGCGAATGCGGGGTCCCGGGGAGACCGGACATAGCGAATGCGGGGTCCCGGGGAGACCGGACATAGCGAATGCGGGGTCCCGGGGAGACCGGACATAGCGAATGCGGGGTCCCGGGGAGACCGGACATAGCGAATGCGGGGTCCCGGGGAGACCGGACATAGCGAATGCGGGGTCCCGGGGAGACCGGACATAGCGAATGCGGGGTCCCGGGGAGACCGGACATAGCGAATGCGGGGTCCCGGGGAGACCGGACATAGCGAATGCGGGGTCCCGGGGGGACCGGACATAGCGAATGCGGGGTCCCGGGGAGACCGGACATAGCGAATGCGGGGTCCCGGGGGGACCGGACATAGCGAATGCGGGGTCCCGGGGGGACCGGACATAGAGAATGCGGGGTCCCGGGGGGACCGGACATAGCGAATGCGGGGTCCCGGGGAGACCGGACATAGCGAATGCGGGGTCCCGGGGAGACCGGACATAGCGAATGCGGGGTCCCGGGGGGGACCGGACATAGCGAATGCGGGGTCCCGGGGAGACCGGACATAGCGAATGCGGGGTCCCGGGGAGACCGGATATAGCGAATGCAGGGTCCCGGGGAGACCGGATATAACGAATGCAGGGTCCCGGGGAGACCGGATATAACGAATGCAGGGTCCCGGGGAGACCGGATATAACGAATGCAGGGTCCCGGGGAGACCGGATATAACGAATGCAGGGTCCCGGGGAGACCGGATATAACGAATGCAGGGTCCCGGGGAGACCGGATATAGTGATTGCAGGGTCCGGGGAGCCCGGATATAGTGAATGCAGGGTCTGGGGAGCCCAGATATAGTGAATGCAGGGTCCGGGGTTTAGTAACACTTTTAGATAAGGGTGTATGAGATGATAATCTACTAGGGAAAGAGAAATTCTCTGTTCAATTATATAATTATTGTTAAAATGTATTACTGTTTTTTTTTTTGTTTTGTTTTAACAGATTTAAAAAAATTTTTAAGGATATATTCTATAATAAAAACAATTTTAATTGTATTTGTAAGTTTCCAGCACCTAAAGAGTTACAAATGTGTGTATTCCCCTTTCTGTTCATGTTAGTTAAGGAATTGGTGGCAGCGGATCACCCATCAATGCTCTCTTACATAGATTATACTGTAAAGGGTCTTTACATGAAAACACGTTTCCCCGAATATCCCAGAATACACTCACACTTCACTGCGTGCAACACTCGGCTATCCAAGGGCTTTCTGCTGGGGTCATTGGTAGACGAGCGGATTCCTGTTCCACAACTGTTTGCTAAAGTGTTCCTGAAAGATGAGAAAGTACTGCTGAAAAATCTAAAGCAACAATTGCATCTAAAATGACCAACCAATGCAATTCAGGAAAAAAAAGTAAAAAAAAAAAAAAACAAAACAAAACAACAGTATTCATTAGGTCACCATACCTCTGCCAGTCATTTACACGTGGAAGGACAGCTTCCAACTACTTACCCTCAGCTTGTCCCATAGTTGGGTCATGGAGCAAAAAATATTTGTACTTGACCACATGGCCTGGCTACACAGATTGCTAATGATCCTAAAGAGGTTCTCCTCTTCTACCTTGAATGTAACACCACCCTTTAATAGTACAGATTGCAATGCTCAAAGTGTAAAAAAAAAAGATCTTTTATTTGCTTTATATTGGTTTTTTAAATACACACACACACACACACACACATATATATCACTCACTCATACACACAAGGGTTGGACAAAAATATGGAAGCACTACGATTTAAAGGTGTGAAAGTGACGACATGTTTCGCATTGAAAGCTTAACATTCTTTTGCTTCCACTGTGTGATGAGACACCTAGCTAACAGGTGGGAAGCCTCACTTTCGTCATTCACTGCGAGCGCTGCTAGTAATACGGCATCATGTGAGAGCTTACTGCGTTTCAAAGAGGGCAAATTTTTGGTGTCACTTAGCTGGTGCCTCTGTGACTGAAGTTGCCAATTTATTTGCCGTGATGCACGTCACATTATTAAAGGTTATGACGGCATATACAGTTTCCGGGAAAACGTCGTCTGATGAGCATAAGCACGGTCGCCATGGTCAACTGACCGAAAAAGACAAAAGGACGTTGTGCAGGATTGTGACCCGGAATAAGAAAACAACTGCGCAAAAGTGACTGCAGAGCTCAATCTCAGTCTCCCAAAGCCCATGTCCACAAAACTGTGTGGAGGAAACTCCATAAGCAAATCCTTTATGGGCGAGCTGCTATTGCCAAACCACTAGTGACTGATATTAATGCTCAGAAGAGGAGAGAGTGGTACAACACTCATAACTTGTGGACTATGATCAATTTTGGAGAACAAGCTTCGAGCTCATTTTCTGCCTGCCTCCGGCATCTCCGCAAGAACTGGAACGATTTTTGCATGAAGAGTGGTATCAGATTCCACTATCCACCATCCAAGACTTATGTTTGGCAATTTCCATGGTAATTCAAGCCATCTCGGATGCCGAAGGCGGTCCAACACCATATAAGGTAACAGTTTTGTTTTTCCTTGGGGTTTCCATAATTTTGTCCAGCCCGTATATATATATATATATCTCTATCTATCTATCTATCTATCTATATATATATATACCCTGTTATATATTTTCAAAGTGAAAAAAAAGTCAATTTAGAGCCGTCTTGTGCCCTGTGCATTCTGCCTGTGTTCACCCAGTTCTTACGATGTACTACACAACAATCTACGTTGTGGAAATGAGGAGAGGGGGATGGATTCAGGGGTTTAACAAAAGACAACTGGGCAGGGCGGAGCCATTTGCTGTAAATCGACAGCATTGAGAGAAGAGTGTATTTCTGGCAAATAAAAGGTATTTTTCTGTAAGCCCCGGGTTCACAAATATCCTTTAAGGAGGAGCCTGCTCGCGCCTTTGACGTCACGCCGTCGGAGCATCGTGGAGCTCCAGCGGCCATCTCCTTTCAGGGACGGCTAGTGTTACCCCTGTTATCTACCGTTCCAAACGATACTTACTGGATGCATCCTTACTCTTGCTAATAAATATTAATCCAAACTATATTACACTATGGGCACTTTTTTGCCTTGACTCCGTATGGGGAGTATTTTCTTCCAGAAGCTGTGTTGCTCCGAGTCTAACCAGAGAGGGAGGTTCCTACCACTGTAAGAGCAACACCCACATATCCCTTAAGGGGAACTCTGTGCTGGAGCCTAATTTCCTATGACCCTGAACCTGTGTGACCCAGAGAGTGACATTCTTCCACGTGCTGTTCTGGACATATATTTCTAGTGGAACCAGAGATCCAGACGCATATTTCCAGTGGAACCAGGGATTAATCTTTGTTCACTGCACTACACCAAGTGTGGTTCTGGTGAGTGGGCATTTCTTCTATTCTCATTTGAGGAACGTTCACTGATCAAGAACCACTAAGGACTATTAATAAAAGCGCTGCACTGTTTCTGTGATATTTTGTATTGAGGTTTTATTGGTTGCCTTGAGTGTACAGCCGTTGAACTGATTAGCGCTGACTTTTTATACTTTGTTCATCATATTCTGTATGTTCTACCCTTGCTTGTGTGTAACGCCTCCACAATCCAAAAAACACACTGGTAACTAACTGGTTTATGAGTAAACTGACCCTAAAGGGTGTGTGAGTGCATGAATGTTGCAGGGAAATTAGACTACGTAATCCTTTAGAAGTGGGGCCGATGTGAGCAGTTTATGTACTCTGGAAAAAAACAAAAAGTATATAAATGCAGGGAATATTTTTTCATTATGACCAATGACCTCTTCCACATCTGGAGAAGCAGGCTGGGACCATCATAGCCAACCCATCCCACTACTAACCTGTCAAAGAAGGAGGCCAGTAACCGGCGAAGCAGAACCTTGTGGCGTGTTCCGGCGCTGATATGACAATTCATCAGCTGGGCGCGGGTGATAAACACGTTGGTTCCTGAGATGGTATGAAAGCAGAAAGGATGAGGAGCACAAACCTTTAACAAAAGGAGCCCAAAATGAATCATATTTTTGCACCAGCCATAAGGGTTTAACCATCGGAGCATGTAATAAATTATTTTCTTTTACCATCTTCTGTATTGTAGTACAACGGATTAAAAAAAAAAAGCTATGTATACTTTAGAAACAAATAGAATTTAGCTTTGTTCACTCTAGTAGTAACAACACTTTAAAGCACCTAAAGTGCCCCTGTGTCCAGGCTATAAAGCAATAAACTACATTCAAGTATTTAGTAAAAACATGCAGGAAACGAGCTTTAACACAAGCCACCACTGACCCCTCTAGCTGTAGCCACTGTGGAATGATTAATTCTCAAAGATCACAACAAGGACTCCAAGATTTTAGTTGGTATCTGAGAGCTTACAAACATCAGGGGCTTGTTTTAATCACAAGGTAGGCTGACAAGATTCTGCTTTCACTGGAATATAGCTGAGATTCCTGTGCCTCTGTTGTGAACTTTGAAGAGGAATTTATCCACAAAGCTTATAGCTACAGAAATGAATGTAGGCTCGTTGAAGGATAATACAATTTATGGAATGTTCTGATCCCAATGGACATAAAAGAACCTCATCTCTGCTACAATATATTAGACCAGGGTGGGGCCAAAATGTGGTCAACATAAGTAGATACATAGTAGCTTGTTATTAGAATACAGAGTAGTATATAGAAAGCTGGATGTACCTGTCACGAGTTCTATCTTCTCAGCGGGATCTCCTTCTTCATAGAGTTTAGGGTGACAACGGTTCCCAATCTGGCTGATGAGTTCAGCTGGTAGTGTGGCCAGGTCCTGCTTGACACGAACACGATTCCTCGAGTCTGAGAATACAGGATCGGGCAGAGCCTCCACCTTCTCAGCTGAAGAATTCAAAGAATATTCTAATGGTAAGAGGACAAGGCACACAGATTATAAATAGCACAGCCAGGGTAAGTAAATCGAGACCGACAACGATGGACTTGAACTCACCAAGACTGACAAGACCACACAACAATCAACATCAACCAATTTAGAAAGCACAGCAAACACAAGTACAACAACCAATGCCACATACAACTGCACAAAAAGGTCTGCAAAGCCCTCAAACTACAAATTCTACTGAATTTCTGAGTGAATGGAGGTTTTCACCCCCCTCCCCAAAGGTGAGAATCATTAAAGGGGCCTTGAAGTGGAACTTCTTCTTTTGGGTGGAGCTCTGTTTCAACTAGGTCTACTGTCCACGTCCTAATAGCAAGTGTCCACATCATAAAGTGGACACCTAAAGAACATCCCCACCTCCTTTACAGAGAGAGAAGATTTGAGACCAGAATGTCAGGTCACCATGAATTTCGGTGAACAGAAGGAAGATATCTTTTTTTTGTTTTTTTTTTTTATGTCAGTGATTAGTTAGAGGGTTGTAGGAGATATAGGAGAAAAGCAGGAGTTCAGCATTAACCTTTCAATGAATTTTAATTGATTTCCTCATCACTCTCATATGTTCCACTTCCCCTATTCTTTTTAACTTCTTTACATTATTTTAACTTTTTTTCCAAGCCTCTTGATCCTGCCAGTTACGGCCTCTATCGCCACCGTCTTAGGATGCCAAAACTGCTAGGTCGGCTTCCTATGCAAAAGTAGGGTTGTCACCTTTAGAATGTATATAGCAGCTAATAAGGCCATGTGAAGAGCAGACCTGCTGCTTCAGCAACACTCATACCTGCCACAGATCCCAGGCTTGAGATGTCATTACACTTGAATGCATACCCACAACCAGAATACAAACGGAAATGAAGAAGGGCAGTACAGTGTCATGCAGCCATTGGTCCCCTCTGCTCCCTGTGAGGAGGAGGAGAGCACGGAGAGACGCTGCTCTAAGGCACAGTGCTGGATCGAGATCAGGCTCAAGTAGGTACAAGCGGGGTTGGGGAGGAATAGTCTGCACAGAAGGTTTTTTATCTTAAATGTAAAGAATGCATTATGGTAAAAAAAACCTGGAACCACTTTAAATGCAGCAGAATGAAAGAAGAAATGAATTCTCTCAGTCAACATTATATACTTTTACTCTTTATGCTGCCAGCATTAGTAAATACATAGTTTTAAATAAGTAAATATGATATACTTTTCCTATTTTACATTTCTTCAGTTGCTTCCTGGTTTCCAGGTCTAGGCAAATGATGTCACACATCCCAGGAGTCTTCACAGCTAAGAACACCCTCCTGCCTGCATGCCTGAGCTAAGGGCAGATTGATTCCAGGAAGTAAATGTTACATGAATCTTCTTCCCTTATTCAAGATGGCCATGGCCAGAAATGCAACGGGGTGTTTTTCAAAGTGATTTCTCAGCAACATAAAGCATGGAGAGAAGTATGGATGGGACAGTTTACTTTAAATATTAAAAATGACTTAAACAGCGTTTTTGGTTTGTAGTGTTCAGATGCAGTGTAGTTTTGCTTTAAAGAGGAGCTCCAGTCTCCCCCGAACAAATACTGTAGCTGCTGACTTTTAATATAAGGACACTTACCTGTCCACAGATCCAGCGCTGTCCTCACCCGATCCCATTCTTCAATTGGCTTCTGGTTCAGACACCGGCATCTTATGTAAGGGGAACTGGCAGTGAAGCCGTGCGACTTCACAGTTGGTTCCCACTGCGTATGCATGAGCCATGCTATGCCTTGTGAATGGTCCTGAAGTCCTCTCGGACCTGTGATGACCAGAAGACTGTGGAGAAAGGAGGAGAGGGCCTAAGTTCCAGTAATTAAAGAGGAGGATGCAAAGAAGTAGATCTTCCCCATTTGGGTTGAGTTCCATTTTAAGATCTTGCCAACCTTGGAGATTTGGGTATTCCCACCCAACTTTCTGCATGTCAACTCTTCATGTTAAAAGTTCCTCGTAACGGGCACAACAGGTGTGCAAACTCAGGAATTCAACACAGACATCTCAACAACAGATCCCCAATGGGATAAGAAACTGCCTAACATCTACCAATCACTGAAAACTTTCTATTTTGTAGCCTGACTAACCTTTTTACTTAAAAAATGAAGGAAACATGTCACTGTCAAAGGAGGCTCATATGACTCATTACAGCCATCGATAACACAGTCACTCACTCAGGATCCACAAGATACAACACCAGAACCTGTACCCCCAAAACAATATGAAACCTAAGTTGGAATTGGTTGTGAATTTAAAATTAGAGACTATCATTTCTGACCTCATCTTAAAATGCTAGGTGCCCGGCTGTCGAGACTGAACTGCTCCTCAATACTTCAAACAACTGATATGGAACAAGTATTCAGACCAGGAAAGTCCCAGGACTGTCGAAGGTCTTTACCGGCATGCTTGCTCTAGGTCAGTGGCTCAAAGATTTGAAACCAGAAGGTCAGAAGGAAAGCTGGGCAATAGGCATTTTTATAGAAGTACAGTACATAGTCTTCTCCATGCTGTTAATCAGCAACACAAAACTGACTAAATCCCTTACATCAAAAGAAGCTCATAGGAAAAAACTCTTTTAGAACCACTCAAAAGCATAAAAATGACACAAGGGTGGACAACCTCCAAACCACACACCTGAAGTCAGAAACCTACAAATTATCTATCAAATGAGTACACACAAACAATGATGACCACAAATGCACTCATTTACCAACGTAACTTTTATAAAAATGGTCTGTGTGTTCCCTTATAACAACCGAACAGATCCAAACCCACAACGCTGGATAACAAACATTTCAAGATGATTGGCTAGTGCAGTGATGAAGATTAGACAAGACTACAAATATAAACTTTAAACAAGGAGACAATAGTTAACACAGACACACACCAAGCCAATTAGTGGTAAACACTGAACAAAAGACACCCAGAAACCGTCAAGTTACATCTATGTGTAATGCCAAACTCACAAGATCAATATTGCACCTCCCCCCTACAGTTAGTAGATTAATGCAGGCCATAGACGGGTTGTTCATCGGCCAAATTTTCATCCACATGAAAAATCGGCCGATAATAACGCCGTTAGAGGGGCCAGCCCGTCGGCCGTTTTTCGCGGATCTCCTTATTTATTTTTATCGGTCATGCTGGAAAACAGCTGTTTTTCGCAGACATGGGTGGCAGCATCAGCAACGATAAACGGCCCGTCTATGGCCTGCCTAAGGTTCCCATGCACAGTGTACCATGCTAGGAGGAATGTTAAACTAATTTCACACTCTGACAGCAAGTAGCCAACACTGTGCAAAGCTACTAGTCGTCAAACTCAGAGGTGACCTAGAACTCCAGCCCCCACCAACCACAGGGAGCCACTGACGGCTCCAGCCCCCCCACCAACCACGGGGAGCCACTGACGGCTCCAGCCCCCCACCAACCACGGGGAGCCACTGACGGCTCCAGCCCCCCACCAACCACGGGGAGCCACTGACGGCTCCAGCCCCCACCAACCACGGGGAGCCACTGACGGCTCCAGCCCCCACCAACCACGGGGAGCCACTGACGGCTCCAGCCCCAACTAACCATGGGGAGCCACTGACGGCTCCAGCCCCAACTAACCATGGGGAGCCACTGACGGCTCCAGCCCCAACTAACCATGGGGAGCCACTGATGGCACCAGGCCCTACTAACCACTAAGCTTGGTGAGGAGACAACTGTTGGAGCGATTATTCACAAATGGAAGAAATACAAAATAACCATCAAATCTCCCTTGGTCTGGAGCTCCATGCAGGATTTCGCCTCATGGGGTAAAAATGATCATGAGAAATGTAAAGGATTAACCCAAAACTACAAGGGAGGACCTCATAAATGATCTCAAGGCAGTTGGGACCACAGCCACTGGTAACACAATATGCTGTCTTGGACTGAAATCCTGCAGCACCCGCAAGGTCCCCCTCCTCAAGAAGGCATATGTACAGGTCCATCTCAAGTCTGCCAATGAACATCTAAATGATTCAGAGAAAGATTGGGAGAAAGTGCTGTGCTCAGATGAGACCAAAATTGAGCTCTATGGCATTACCTCAACTCGCCGTGTTTGGTCGAAGATAAATGCTGACTATGACCCTAAAAATACCATCCCTACAGTCAAGCACAGAGGTGGAAACATTATGCTTTTGGGCTTTTTCTCTGCTAGAGATACAGGCTGACTTTGCCGCATTGAGGGGCCAATGGATGGGGCCATGTATTGTAAAATATTGGATGGGAACCTTCTTCCGTCAGCCAGAAGACGGGTCATGGATGGGTCTTCCAGCATGACAATGACCCAAAACATACCGCCATGGGAACAAAGGAGTGGCTCAAGTAGAAACACATTAAGGTCATGGAGTGGCCTAGCCAATCTCCAGACCTTAATCCTATATTAAATTTATGGAGGGAGCTGAAACCTTGAGTTGCCAAACAAGTCAAGAAACCTTAAGGACTTAGAGAAGATCTGTATAGAAGAGTGGACCAAAAACCCTCCTGAGATGTGTGCAAACCTGGTAACCAATTACAAGAAACATTATACCTTCGTGCTTGCCAACAAGGGCTTCCCCATTAAGTACTAAATCATTTTGCTTGGGGATCAAATACCTAATTTTATTCACTGAACTGCAACTCAATTTATAACATTTGTATCGTGTTTTTTCTGGATTTCTGGTTGATATTCTGTCTCCATCATTTAAAATACACCTGTGATAAAAATGATAGACCCTTCATTTCTTTGTAAGTGGACAAACTTACAAAATCTGCAAGGGATCATATTATTATTTTCCCCACTGTATATCCTATACGAGCAAGCCAATACACTTGGACCAGAAGAATCAATGAACTACCACAGCGCCATGGTAGCTTATTGAGAACTACAAGCCGATAGCCACTAAGGCTGTCGGGACTTGTAGTTTTCTCATTCACAGAATACTATATGAGTGACGAGGCTGACAGGTGGAGCCCTTTTTAACATTTTGTCAGCTATCGGGAGGAGAAGATTGCCCGTTAGTTGTCAAAGAGCGGGAGCGGCGAGGAGCAGGTCCTTTCATAACATGTTATATGTTACACCCTGAAAATGGATGTAACACGTAATAAAAAAAAATAGAGCACTTCTGGTGAATGTGTTCTTTATCCTGACCGTTTCTGCTTGCTGGAAAGGAAGATGTACCTGAGGATCTGCTGTACAAGGCTCTCCCTGTTTATACTTCATCTATTCCGTGGATCCTTGCTTCCTACACCTATCCTGTTGCTTCTGGATCATTACCCCCTCCAGTTATCTGGGGCCCTGCCACGGCTAAGATGGCTTCCTCCACACAGACACAGTGTAGAACAAGGCATGATAGATTGTTAATAGTGAAAAGATCAGCTGCAGGGAGACCACAGGCAATACTCATGACTATTCCTCTGTACTCGGCTGATCTTTTTTTGAACACAGCTTCTACAATACAGATCTCCTTAGGCCTTTATCTATACTCTTCTGACATCTGTGTCATTTTCAAGCTACTTTTTAAAAACTGGAAAACCTTTAGAGAAAATGTCTCCAATGATTTCCAATATCAAATACCTTTAATGATCTTTAACCATTTTAGTTTTTTTTCTCCCTTTGAAATCTTGAGTCATAAATAATAAATTTGTCAGGAAAACTAAAATGTCTGTTATAGACCAATAAAGGCTTTTGCTGTTCTGAAATGTTGCATCCACTCTTAAGCACATACATCATACAAAGATCAACCATAACCAAATCACACATACCGCTACTGATGCCCCCATTGGCTCTCTCACCGGCCTGGTTGACGTTCATCATGCTGTACATTGTATACATGTTGCAGATTTGTCGGTACTGTTCTTCTGTTCCATCCTCTCCAACTTCTTCTTCTTCATCCTCTTCATTGTGGTAAGACCCTGGGCTGTCACTTGTGTATGCACTGGATGTTCCTGGGCTGGTTCTCTCTGAACCTATTGCAGCATTTGCTGCTGCCCCTGATGGCCCACCAGGTCCAGTAGCCGCTCCTTGGGAAAAACGTGGCACCTTTCTATTGGCTCCACCTGCGTCCTTCTGTCCCCCATCCCACAGTCTCTTGGCCACGGGAGTGCACTGCACGGCCTCTGACTCCTGGCTCTCAGTCTTAACCCGGGGAGGTCGTGAGGTGTTGTAAGATGAAGTTGAGGACAGAGACGCCACAACCGTGCCTGCTGCTGCGACTGCTGCTGCTGCGCTGGGCTTGGTGGCTCAGAACTGGGAGTTTCTTCAGGATGGAGACCCTGCGAGTCACAGCTGGGAGAGCTGACCTTCAGGAAGAACTCTGTTCCCTTTTCCATGATCTCCTGGATCTGCAGGAAGCCAGCCGTGTACATAAGCAGGAACTGGTCTCCTACATTCATGCTGAGCCGTCCGGTGTAGCAGAAGCTCAGGATCTGCTGGAACGACTGTGGCTGGACAGAACCAGGTAACTCCACCACCGGGTTCTTGCTGTTGTGGAACAGGTCTCTGAAGTAAGAGCTGCTGGCAGCCAGGACGGCCCGGTGGGCTTTAAACTGGTGACCGCGGACCACCACAGAGACATCACAGTACAGACCCTGGAGGCGCTGCTCGTTCAAGCATTCCAGAATGCTGTTCCCAAAGTTGGGAATCTCCATTTGCAGAGTCTGAGACATGATGACAAGCGAAGGTGGGAAGAGACAGACGGAGGGGGAGGATAAAGAGGCTAAAAGGACACAGAAGAAAGAAGAATTTGGATGTTAAAGGATAGCAAACAAAATAGGTCACTTTATATTTAAAATATCCATTCTACCCAGAAATGATAATTTAATGTAGCCTGGTGTGCCGAGATATCCCTTGGCTTCTGAGAAGTCTTGGATATTTAACAGCAAAAGCTGCCTTCCATTCCTGACTCTGTTATGGTCTACCTTGGAGTTTTGGGAGTTGCCGCCAACCTTTGTGTGTTCCAGCCCCACCTGTTACATTTTCCATGACCTAAAATACAATAAAAGCCAACAGGGAGAGTGGGAACCCCTTATAATGGTCAAAACAGGTGTGCAGATCAGGGAACTAAACACAGAGGTCTCACCAACAGAGTCCCCAAGAGATAGGGGAATCTCTTATGTGATTTAACCCTTCAGTATAAAACAAACTGAAATATCTGGTGGTATGTGCCAATCCTTTAAATTTGAACTTTGCTTAATGAAAGCTGAAGTGTAGGCTTGTCATTTTTAGTTACATTGGTCCAGCTTGGACCGATGTAAATGTGTATATGCCATACCCATGAAATCCCTGTGGAAGCTAGAAATCACTGTAGTGGGCACTGCTACTATAGTGATCTCCACTAGCTTCTAGGTCCCATACCAAGCTGCAGATCCAAACTGGATCAATATGACCATGTATACCAGTGGTTCTCAACCTTCCTAATGCCGTGACCCTTTAATACAGTTCCTCATGTTGTGGTGACCCCCAACCATAAAATTATTTACCCAGTAATTATAATTCATGAGTGTCGTTTTACCTCCAATACTGCTGCTTTCAGCACAGTAGCTGCTTTTAACAGAGCAGCTGCTTTCAACACAGCAGCTGCTTTCTACACAGTAGCTGCTCTTTTACACATCGGAAATATGTGTTTTCTGATGGTCTTAGGCGACCCCTGTGAACCTGTGGGTCGCGACCCACAGGTTGAGAAGCACTGATGTATAAAATAGCCATATCTGGAGTTCATCCTTAAAGCGAAGCTCCACCCAAAAGGGGAAGTTTGCTTTAAGCCTTTGTCCCCCCGCTCCCCATTAATGATTGGCACCTTTGGGGAGCTGGTAACCAAATTTAACAGATACCTGCACCCACCTCCGCGATCAAAAGCGGACGTTGTCTTCCCTCCCTGTAGTCCTATGGGACACGTGACAGGTCCCAGAAGACTACGGGACCATTCACAAAGCGCAGCGCTTCTCACGCATTTGCAGTGGGCACCCGGATGTGAAGCCGTAAGCTGTCACAGCCGGGTGCCCACACTGAAGATGCCAGCACCAGGGAGAGAAGACGGCCAGTGAAACCAGCCGTGGTGCGGACATTGCTGGACCGAGGGACAGGTAAGTGTCTGTATTTTAAAAGCCATAGCTACAGTTTTTGTAGCTGCTGACTTATTTTTTTTTCTTTTCAGGTGGAACTCAGCTTTAACCATTTCTAAAGATGACGATACAATATACAATTATCTTTCCAGCAACCATGGATTGCAGGAAAAAAAAATTGCTCAATTTCCCCCCCATCAACACATTTGTTGATTGGGGAATCTCTCCAGCAGCACTACTGTGCTCTGCCAGTGGGGAGCCTTCCCTGCTGGCAGAACACAATGGTCACTGTTAACTGCTATAGTTGCCGGCAGTGATTGAAAGAAAAAAAAAAAACCTTACAGGCTGGTTGACTGAAGTCGATCGATGGATCAACTTCAGTACAAGCAGCCTGCCCATAGATAGATTGAATCTCTGCCAGTCCCTGCTGAAGATTCGATCCATCTATGGCCGGCTTTACTCCATCCAAAACTAACCCAGGTTTTGGCTTCACACAAGCTATAAAAAGGAATGTGTTCACTACCTTACTAAGGCATGACAATGCCCCTCACCCGCCCAGCACATTTGTCTGCCAGCTATGCTGCTTCCTCCTCCTCAGATCTCATTATCATGGAGCTAAGTAGAAAGGCAAACAATAAGTGTTTACAGGGACACAAACACTCCCATACATTGCCAGGCCTAGGAGTCCCAGCTCCACACTCCTCGGCTGAAAACAAAATGCATGTTTCAGGAGCACAAATCATTGCAGAATACGGGATCGGATGATTTTTTTTATCATGTATTATATAAATCACAAAAAGCCAAAATTGACTTGTGTGCAGTGATTTTATTTTTGTACATTTCTCCTAGAACATCTCAAAAATGATAAAAAAAAGTCATACAATACATAGATAGACATTTCTTCCAATCAATTAGCACTTACATTTAAAAAGCCCAGCTTAAAGTAGAGCTCCACCCCAAAGGGGAAGTTCCTCTTTAAGCCGTTGTCCCCCTCCCCATTAAGGACTGGCACCTGCACTTTAAGGACATGTCCCCATGTTCTGGTTTTTAAAGCGTCACCTATAGACATTTTCGGGTACCAAACGTCTTCACCATTTCACAGATGCAAACAGTTTTGAGGTGCGACATATTTGATATCGATTTCCTTGACACCGTTCCGTCTTTTTTACATTTGGACCCAATAAATGGGCATTATACCGGATTGTGTTCGCTAAATATAATCTGAGCGGATTTCTTTTTACCTAAGAGATAGATTTCATAAACAATAGCACAATAATCCCCGAGACAAGAAAAAAAAATGTCACATGCCACCATGTTATTCTACAGCTTTCAGGAAGTATAGAAAGTTTTTTGGGGGGTTTAAAGCAGAGCTCCACCCAAAAGGGGAAGTTCTGCTTTAAGCCTTTGTCCCCCACTCCCCATTAAGGATTGGCACCAATGGGGAGCGGGGGGGGGGGGGGGAAGTGGGTACCCGAATTTAACAGGTACCCGCTCCCACCTCCGCTGCGCTCGGTAGTGGAAGTTGTCCTCCCTCCCTGTAGTCTTCTCGGACACATGACAGGTCTCAGAAGACTACGGGGCCATTCACAAAGCGCAGTGCTTCTCGCACATGTGCAGTTCGCACCTGGCTGTAAAGCCGCAATCGGTCACAGCCGGCTGCCCACACTGAAGATGCCAGCGCCAGGGAGACAAGACAGCCGGTGAAGCCAGCCATGGTGAGGGCACCGCTGGACCGAGGGACAGGTAAGTGGCTGTATTTTAAAAGTCAGCAACTACAGTTTTTGTAGCTGCGGACTTTTATTTATTTATTTTCCAGATGGAACTCCGCTTTAACCTATGTGATTCATTAGCAGAATGATATCAGGCCTCATGCAACTCCCTCCTCGCCGGCCTACCCCAACATAGGCTATCCCTGCTTCAGGTCTATCCTGAATTCTGTGGCCAGACTCATCCACCTTGCTAATCGCTCCGTATCCGCCACCCCCCTCTGCCAATCCCTCCACTGGCTTCCGATTGCCCAACGCATAAAATTCAAAATATTAACATTGACGTACAAAGCTCTTCATAATACTGCCCCAAACTACATCACCCACCTGATATCCAAATACCACCCAACACGCACTCTCCGCTCCTCACAAGAGCTCCTACTCTCCAGTTCCCTGGTCTCCTTCTCCCATGCCCGTCTCCAGGACTTCTCCAGGGCTTCCCCCATCCTCTGGAACTCCCTAACCCAATCCATCAGACTGTCACCTACTCTCCTCACCTTTAGGCGCACCCTGGAAACACATCTCTTCAGAGACGCCCCCCACAGCCACTTCCTCCTGTACCACTATCCCCTCCTAGATTGTAAGCTCCAAGGAGCAGGGCCCTCGAACCCCTCGTGTATTGTATTGTTATTGTATTGTCTCCCACTATAACGTACAGCGCTGAGCAAACTATTGGCGCTATATAAATACTGTATAATAATAATGCAAAAAGGAATACATTTGCTTCTCCATACTTTTTATATATAAATATGGTCAACATACCCTGGCAGCATACAGGAGAGTCAAGCCGCTGTTCTCACATACTACGCAGCAGCCTGGCTCCCCAAATGATGTGAAAACGCCCCCCCCCCCCCCCCCCAACGAGCACTGCGCCAATCAACAGTGCTGGTCCCAAACCAGATATTGCTGTATATGGCGTCAGACTGCATTACTACAAAGAGGGCTCACTTGGGCATTAAAGTGTATGTATAGAAAAAACACTTGCAGGAGGGAAGTGTTCAAAAAATTAACGCCTGCCAGGATATTTCTGCTGCGAGAGGAATATTTTCCCCAAACAAGTGTCCCCATTGGGAAGTTTTTCCTCTGCTCTTGTTCTAGGGACAACTCTCAAATTTGGGATTCTCCTTCACATTTTATGGTTGACCATGGTCACGGTACACCAATAGGGACACAGAGGGGCCAACCTTGCCTCACACTCTACCCAAAACTAAATCAACCCAACCATGTGTATAGATATGGTAAGGGCATTAAAGAATATGGAATCCCAACATTTCATATTACTGGCATGTACAAGAAAGGATCCTGT